ACGCAGAAAGGTGTTCTCTGCAAAAGATGTTAGCCCCTTTTCTTTCGCAACACAGAAAGGAGAATCCTACGTAGTGAGGGTTATAATCCCTAAGCTCGGCCGAAGGCCGCCTACGCAGAAAGGTGTTCTCTGCAAAAGGTGTTCAGCCCCTTTTCTTTGGCAACACAGAAAGGAGAATTCTACGTAGTGAGGGTTATATAATAATTGGAGTGCAATGGGATATAGTCGTGGAGTGCAATGGGGTATAGTCGTTGGAGTGCAATGGGGTATAGTCGTGGAGTGCAATGGGGTATAGTCGTTGCGCTGGGTATGCAGTTACAGTTGCATGGCTGTACTCAATCCCGACTCTGCCGTCCTCGTTCGCGCACTCTGGGCAACGTGAGCAACCCTTGTGACCCGCTGGTGGTAGCAGAGGAAGAGGGAGGCCCCCCACTGCGATGGAAAGATCAGGTGGAGAAGGACTTGGCTTCACTTGGCGTTTCCAATTGGCGTCAGTTGGCACAGAGGAGAAACGACTGGCGTGCTTTGCTGAACTCGGCCAAAATCGCTTAGGCGGTTACAGCGCCAAAAAAGAGGAAGAAGAGGGTTATAATCCCTAGCCGCGGCCGAAGGCCGCCTACGCAGAATGGTGTTTTTTATCACTCTAATCCCCTACTATTTATTTTAATCTGAAAAAAATAACCTTATCGTATTTTCCTTTTAATCGATTTCTTTTTGTCTTATTTTCCATGCTTGGTTTTCAGATGTGGCAACGCAGTCCTGATGTAATTTGCAAATATTCTACATGTACTCTCATAATAATTAAACAACAATGAATTTTTCATAAAAAAGCTGTAATATACTAAAAGTATTTATGTTTGGTTGTGCACACTCTAACTGCACATATATTGAGTGTAAATAACGTTTAAATTTAGTGGAAAGTGCATTAAATATTGTAAAATAGTGCTATACAAGTTTGTTAAATTTACAAACTTTAACAACAAATTACTTAAAAACTATAAGGTTCAGCGCTTTGAAACTTTACATATTAGTACCCCCTCTATTCAAAGTATATTTAAACAAGTATATATTGAACAAGTTACAAGCACTCTACCTCCAAATCTCGCTCGTTTTGTTTGTTGGATGTAAACATACTCTGCTTGCAAATGTAAATTATCAAAAAATACTTACAAATTCATTAGAAATTACTTATAGAAGTAATTAAATATTTTCAACGTGCAATATCAATGTGCCCTTTTATTTTGTCTACAATTTGGTTGTCAACCACACTACAGCTGATCGGTTGACACATTTACCAAAATTTACCAGTAAAAATCCTCACACTAAAACTGGTAAATTCTAATATGTAGAGTGCGTCATTTGCTATCCCAACAGCATTCTTTAGTGGCGAACCTGGTAAAAATTGACAAGTTCGGACTCGTACGGGATCGCAACTAACACCTCTATCCATATGCATGCTTTTTTTAATTAAATATACTGTTAATTAATTATTTAGTTTATGATGATGCCTAAGCTCGAATCTTTAATTTCAGGGAATCTTGGTGAAGTTCTTATTCGATGCAACAACGTGTTATATATAAAAGGAGTAGATGATGAGGACGAGGAGGGCGAAATGAGAGATTAAAGTTTAGTTAATAAATATAAAGAAAACCGAATATGTTTTGAGTTTTTGGTATTTAGAATTAATATGGACATTATGGGATTTGCTAAATTTGATCCCGGCTGTAGACGAGTGGTTAGATTGCGTACTACCACTCCGTAGGACCTTGGTTCGATCCCTGGTCCGTGCAACATCTAGAAAAAGTTTTTCCAAACTGCGGAAGGCAATGGCAAACCTCCGAGTGTATTTCTGCCTCGAAACAGCTTCTCATTAAAACTATTTGCCGTTCGGAAGCGGCAAAATTTGTAGGTATGTCAACATCAGGGCGCACGCCAAAAGTTGGAGAAGCTTGGCCAAACACTTACATATCAAAAAAGGTAAGCGCAAAAAATCATTTAGATTTGGATATTTGGAAATCTGGCCACCTTATATAAGCATAATTGTCTTTTAACAATCCTTCCTACTAATATTATAAATGTGAAAGTTTGTATGTTTGGATGATTGGGGCTCCATCACGCGGGGACGACTGAACGGAATTGCATGAAATTTTGCACATAGTTATTTTATGACCTAGATTGAAAAAATGTGTAATTTTTTAAGAGCTGCCACCTGTTGAAAAAGATTAATTAAATTAATAATCAGGCGGAAACGACTGAACGGATAGATAGTTTGTGACCTACATCAGTGATTCCCAAAGTGGTCCAGGGTCTACGTTGGCGTAAAAAAATATGGGGGTCCACGAGTTTTGACGTAGAATACGTCTTACGTTTCGATATGGAGGCTATGCTCAAATGTAGTAGTTGTAATTTTAAGAGCTTCACGAAAAGGCTTATTGCACGAGAACTAGTGAAGCGATTTCGAAGAAAGGTGTGGCGTTTCAAAGAAAAAATTCCAAACCTATCGACAGATACATTTCTGTAAGTAACCGATTCGGTGTCTGTCCTAGAAACAACGGTAAATATTGGCTTATTTTGGGGTCAATTTTGAGCCTTTAAAGTGCTCTAGAAACTTATGATTTGCAGATATAACTTTCATTTTCGGGATATAGGTTCTTTGGAGCAGTACAAATATTATCGTGTACAAATTTTATATAAATTCAACAAATATAGAGCATTTTAAGGCAAAAAATTGTTGAAAAAATTAGCAAATTTTTTTTATTACCAAAATTCTCGAAAACCGCTCGAATGATTTTGTTTTTCTTTTTCTTAATCAAAAATTCAAGTTTCTTCCTTTCGTTTGGTATATGGTTAGTATTGGTTGATATCTTCTAAGTATGTTTATTTTATTGAAATATATGGGCATAAATGATTTTCCATACAAAAGCACTTCGTCATCAGTTTGCAAACACGTGCATGCGCTGGTAGTGATAGAAGGAGACAAAAAGTATGTGTGTAGGTATTTCGGCTTTTGAGTAACAGATGGCGCAATATTTATAACCTAATCGCAACTTATGTATGTAAATACATACATACATATGCTGATTTGCAGTTTATTGTCGATCTGTTTTTCTTTTAGTAATCTATGTATGTATGTATGTAATACATATGAATGCATAATACCCGAAAACTCTTTCCTCATATCAGATCTGTACCGTTCGTTCGATTTTACAAAATGAGGCATCAATTGCATTTGTTTTTCTACTTTTTGGCGGCTAGACACTAATTTTAAACAATTTTATTTAATTTCATGCAGTTCTAACGTCGTGAATACTAAACACAAGCTCGAAAGTCTGGTTTTACTTATGAAAGAAAATCCCAATACGCTGTTGGCACAATCTCTGAAAACAAAATCATAGAGCTGTTTATAGTTGATGCTTTCCATTTCCAGACAACCGGTCAGGTACGAGCATGATTTTTAATTTCGACCAAACTCAA